CATCGTGTGCCGCCGGCTTTACAGAATTCCAGTACACAAACTTTTTCATAACGCATAGTGCATAAGAGAACCAACCAATCGAAATTCTTCTTTTTCATGGAATGGGAGGAAAGAAAAGCTTCTGATTAGTTGATTCGCTTATGCACTATGTATTATGCGTTATGCAAAAGTTTGTGTCTGGGCCCTCACTCGTAATTATTCGTAACGAAAGTTATCGATAAGTACAGTTAACGACAGCGATAATCGTCGATAGGAAGTTAGAGAATCCCGATACAGAGCGAGGACGGCTCGCTGTCTCGTTCGCTCACGGTTCGCTCACGGTGCGCCGAAGGCGAGCACACGGACATGGGCTCGTGCTTGTGTGTGGCTCTGTCTGATTTTGTCGCCACCATCACGCAAAGTTCTTAGCTGAGTATTCAGTATTCTTAATCTCAGAAAATAATATTAAATATGTATCGATAAAATGAGTCTACATAAAAATTTGTAAAAAAAATCTAATAAGTATAAAAAAGGCAAGATTTTTCGCTTCATCAATGAACAGTTATGTGGAATGCAAATGTGAAAGTATGGGAGCAAAAAAAGAAATGACAAGGAAATGACAGGAAATCGAGAACTTGCTCGTTATATATTTTTCAATAAAAAATTTATTCGAATTAAAGATTAAATGTTATAATACATGCAAAGAAACCGCGAATCTTTTCTCTTAATTAATATCTTTCTTTGACATTATATTTATATCTGCAAGTTTCTTCACATTTCTTTTCATCTTTTCCTGTAATTATATATGGAAATTTTTCAATACATATATATATGGATTCAAGATATATATGGAGATTTTTCAATGTAGTGACATGTGTACCAATTAAACATTAGATATGAAATTCTCAAAACTCAAAATATCCTGCTAGAAACAATAAAATGCCTATTTTTGTTTAGATCATTGTTAACTATAGGGGTATATACAACCGGTCACAGAAAGATTGCAACACTTTTTTTTCGATGGGTTTCGGAATGCAGCTTGTTCACCGAGCGATTGGTTCTTATTCATGGATCCACAAATAAGAACCAATCGCTTGGTGAGTAGGCGGCATTCCGAAACCCATAAAAAAAAGTGTTGCAACCTTTCTGTGACTGGCTGTACAGAGTGTCACGTAATTTTTTGCAAAGCTCTTTTGTGTAGATAGAGCGAACTAAACTGGTCGAGAAGTTCTCTACCATTTTGCAATTTTCAAAATTGTTAACGAGATATAAATTTATGAAAATAGCCAAATTCGCCCAGCCTACCGCCAAATGCAAACGTGCGGCGAAATAAGACCGCCCAGAGAGACAGTTATGCCAGATTCTAGCTTGCGTTACCACTTGGTAACACGTGGTAAGGGAAGAATTGGGGTATTGTCATAGTAGTTGCTATGAAGTTATAGCTATCGGCAACTACCTCCACTCTTCCCCCACCAAGAGGTAGCACAAGCCTGTGATGGAAATTTGGCTCCACGCAACACAGAGAATCAGTCCCTCCACTTTTGCTCCACCAAGTAATGTCACGCTCGACTAGCTTCGGCGCTGAGTGAGCGAAGCAGCGATAGCAGGGTACCCTTTTCACCTTCCTTTTTGCCTGAAGCGTGGTGGCACTTGGTGGGGCAAAAGTGGAGCGACTGATTCTGTGTTACGCGGAGCCAAATTTTCATCACTGGCGCAAACCAGAATCTGGCACCACTGCAGAGATGCATGTTCTTCGTCGCTAGGCACATTGTTTATAAGCGACATTGGCATTAACGTGCCTAGCAACAGCAAACGCGCGCCTCGTTGGACGGTCTTATCTCGCCATCCGCTTACATTTGACGGTAGACCGGACGAATTTGGCTACTTTCATAAATTTCGTTAACTATTTCAAAAATTGCAAAATAGTACAGAACTTTTCGACTCAGTTTAGTTAGCTCTAGCAACACAAAAGCGCTTTGTCAAAAATTGTGGGACACCCTGTATAAATATAAGTTTTTAACGACAATATGTTGGCACTGTCACTTTAGGACGTTTTTTGGATTCCATTTCCGAAAAGAATTCTTTAATATCTTCTTCACGTACAACTTTCTTGTTTTCAGCAAATTTCTGTAGGTATTGCATTAGCCGTTCTTTCATATTGTTATATTCTGTAAACGATTATAAACAGCTTAAACATTAGTGGAAGTGACACATTTTCTGAAAAATTTAATTTAAAAACATATTTCTTAGAATATTTTTAATCTCATAATTTTACCTTCAATCGCTGTCAGCTTTTGTACATGCCCCATGCTGGCAAGAGCTTTCATGCCTTTTTCATACTGAGATTCCTGCTTGTTCATTTTTCCTGCTTCTTCATATGCTTGTACACTGTCTTTTGGGTCAAGTAAAAATGCAATGCCTTTTGCATTATATAACTGCAACAACGATAAAAAATATAACAAAAGATTGTCATACAAGGCCGCACAAATCTTTTAACGAATGTAATATGTCAGTAATAACAAAAGTATATGAAAAAAGTCAATATCTCACCGATTTGCATTCGTCGCAAGTACACAGTGCGGTTCTCCAACCTTCCATCCAAAAACAGCTTCCTTTAGTATCTGCATAGTTAAATTTTGGCATTTGACATCCTTTGGACAATTCACTGATGTTTATCTCTTCATTTTTTTCAGATACATCCAATTTCACATCTGCTCTCTTTAGGACTACTTGCAGCAAAATAACATATTTGTAAGTTTATAATTAAATACATAAAAAATAATAATTTACAATTCAGTTTGTGTAGGTATCACAAGAGTCTAAGTAACCTGCATGTTTTGTTGCATATTTCCACAGAAAGTTGTGTTTCTTCATACAGCCTGCACATATCATTTCATCATAAGCATTATCTGCTGGTGTACTGTTGTCGCATTCCAAATGCTAAAAAAAATCCTTTTTTTTTAGTCCTTTAAAGTTTATCTTCATTAAAGACATATATACATTATAGACATATATACATAGAACAAATCTTAAGTAAATCTTTTAGAAGTTAACCCAATCAACAACACTTTATTTTTTGTTATTATTTTTTTTATCTTTTATCTTGTGGGTACTTACTTTGACTTTTCTAAAGTTTAATTATACAATTATATATATATATATATATAATTAGAGACAATTAATATAAAGTCCTAAATATGTTAATACAAAAATAAATTGCATACGGATTATTTTGTAATTTACCTTCAAATGATACCAATCCTCACATATTATACATTGCAGCATGTCATCCTCATCACCTTCTGGATCAGGATATGGTCTTGCGCAGGTGCAATAAACACCATCAAAATTTTGATTGTATTTATTTTCAGTATTGGTAGCAGATTTTAGCTAGAAAGCACAATAAGTATTGGTCAATCACAATGCAACATAATTTTATATAAAACGTACAAAAGTATGTAAGTAAAAGATCCATTACTTTCTCTAGATTACATTGTTTGCCATCAAACTTAGTATTTCCACAGTCGCATCTGAAGTGTCGCTTTGTATACAGTTCTACAAGTTCATGGCCTTCATGACAGTGAAAACTACATGCCAAACAGACGGCAGCTCGAATTTTGTCTAAGCAACATGTTTTACACGCATACAACGCCTGTCTTATATATCCCTACAAAAACAGTTGTAAATAAATAAACTAGTTAAATGGAGAACAAAACTGTAAAGCGCAATACTGTCACAGGAAAAAGATCAAAAGCACTGCTACCTTACTGTAAGTACAATTCTGGTCGTCGGATGCGCCTAGAACGGCATATGCATCCTCTTCGAGCTGATTTTCTACCTGGAGAACATCGAGCATTGTGACGGAGCTATCGTCCTCCACAGTTTCGGCTAACTGGTCAGACATATTTCCGATCTCGTTGCGATTCATGAAAAAATGCGACGAGAGGGTGTCTACCGCAGAGTCGTAGGGTGAGGAGATTCGAAGTCGGAATCTTCGCGAGCGTCGAAGCAATCCGTTAAAAATGCGGAAGGTTAGAGCAAACTGCGAGCGTCGAACGATTCACGGACTGGCAGCGATGCATTCGATGTGACGCATCTTATCGACTTTTTACTCAATGTTTTCGTTCAATGAAATCCGCTTCTCTCTCTCGTAACGAAGAAATCGCACACCTTCGACTTCTCATCTGCGTATCAAGATCTTAAATGTAAGCACCGAGAGAGAGAGAGACGGGCCACGACGGGCCAACAAGAAACGAGCTGACGAGCATAGTAGAAACTATATAAGGTGAAACATTACGCATAATGGCGGTAGCTAAATACCCTCTAATCAGAGTCGCGACACGAGGACCGGAGACTCTAGTTAGAGACTCTAGGCCTGTTCGTTTTGGCTGAATTTTTGATTCACCAGTTCATCTTTCTTTCTCTCCTTTCCTCCCGGATAGAAAAGGAAGAATAATGAACTGGTGCAAAAGTTCAGCCAAAACGAACAGAGGCTCTATTCTTGAAACGAAACGTATACGAAAGTCTAGGGAAATGCTACAGTATACGTTACGTATACTATAGTATTTCCCTAGACTTTCATATACGTTTCATTTCAAGAATAGACCCCCTGGGGCTCTATTCTTGAAAAGAAACGTATACGAAAGTCTAGGGAAATACTATAGTATACGTAACGTACTATACATTTCTTTTCAAGAATAGAGCCCCAGGCCTCCTCTTTACGGTCTCTTTATATTAAGAGTCTCTAGTTTCAGCAAAATCACAAGAAAGAGAGAGGAATATGTTGTGTCTCTTTCTAACCTTCATAGTTCTCGTGTGAGTCGCGATCTCGTAAAGCCTTGTATCCACGATGCTAGAAATCGGTCCAAAATCTCGGACAGAGAAAAAATTAACAAATCACATTTGAACAATTTGATCACATGACCATTGCGATTGGTCAATTCTTTCTTCATCCGAGGTCTCGGACTGATTTCTAGCATCGTGGACACAAGGCTCAAGATACGTCTTTCTATACATAGTACGACTTTCAGAACATTATTAAAAACTATTGCAAAATAGTTGGGTGTGGAGCCCCATTTTGCAATAATTCTGCAGCCAAAGGCTACATAATGAAAATATTTCCGTGTGATGTTGAACGTCGAGCATTATGGACGATAAATGTTGGAAAAAATGTTGGAAAAAAAGTGTGTTCGGGGAAATGCTATTAACGCTATTTCTGTCATTCTTGTTTTAGTTGGAAAAATTGATTTTTCACAAAATAGATTAGTTTGCGAACGATTTTTAGCGTATCGATACGCACATCGCCCATTCCTACAATATTGATATTCGAATATTGGCAGGAATTGCTGAAAAATGACGGACCAATCAAAATTAGCTATTCCTCGTGTTGCGACTTTGATTAACTCCGGATCTACAATAGAGTTCTAAGCCTTAAGCCATAAGAAATGGGCTAATCACAGTCACTTATTCTTCTCGGATTCGACTATAAGTCCGGATCTACAATAGGGTTTTAAGCCTTAAGCCATAAGAAATGGGCGAATGACAGTCGCTTATTCTTCTCGGATTCGACTGTAATTGGTCAATTTCTTAAGGCCCGTCTACAATACACGGAGTAAGAAGTAAGAGTAAGAAATTGACCAATCACAGTCGAATGTGAGAAGAATAATCGACTGTGATTGGTCAATTTCTTACTCTTACTTCTTACTCCGTGTATTGTAGACAGGCCTTAAGGCTTAAAGCTTAAGTTTAACGTCTTAAAATCTCATTGTAGACGCCGCATTACGCCGCATGTGACGGCACCCTTATAGCGTTTTCGGCCCGGCTAGGTTTGCACCAACCTGGGTTGGATTAATGGCGTTTTGTACTCTCCTATTGGTAGAGCAGGTGATGTCAACCAATAGGAAAGATTAATCCAACCCAGGTTGGTGCAAACCCGATCGGGCCGAAAACGCTATTAGATACAGCCGCGTATCGTATGTGCGCTGAACGACAGAAATAGAGAGAAAATGGTAAACAATATCTCTTTCATATTTCTTTAATTTCGTAAATATCATAAAAGTCGCAAAAAATAATATGTTACGGGAGCATTGACATTATTTGCTGATTGATAGATTTTGTCGAGGGCCAAACCGGCCTCGTCAGAAGGCGTTCGAACGTCAGTCTCGCGCAAGGAGATACCGAAGCTGGAGGAGTTTTTGGAAAAACGAGACTACACGGGCGCCTTGACGTTATTGGAATTCAATAGTACCACCGGCAACAATTTGGAAATGGACTTGTGGATGGGATATTGCGCATTTCACTTAGGCGATTACAAACGTGCAGCAACTATCTATGAAAACTTGAGGGACAAGGATTACGCATCTCCGAACATTCTAACGAATCTAGCGTGCTGCTACTTCTATTTAGGCATGTACTCTGAGTCACAAAAGATCCTGGAAGAAGCAGAAAATAGTAAACTGCAAATCAGATTACTGTTTCACCTGGCCCACAAGATGGGCAATGAATCCAAGTTAATGAAATACCATCAAATGCTGCAAGATATTATCGAGGATCAGCTCAGTCTAGCGTCTATTCATTACTTGCAAGCTCACTATCAAGAAGCTATTGATGTCTATAAAAAAATTTTATTGGATAACAGGTTGGAATATCTCTTTCGTATCTCTTTGATACAACAGAACCTTTAGGATAATTTTGTATAATTTTTGACTATGACATTTTTACCTTGCACCTTTTTGCATATTCATGCAAGTTTAGAGAAAAGCACCAAAAGATGCAACTCTAGAGCAGATTCTGGGTTGTATTTTCTTATCCAACTGCAAAATAATTCCAGGTACCTGTTCTTTTATTTCTTTTCCTCCTCAAGTCATTCCTATGTCACCTTCAATTTGTCATCATAAGATCAAAATGATTTAATGTATCAAATAGTTTTCATTTAAATTAAGTGGATTTTATAATTTCTTTTCAGAGATTATCTAGCTTTAAATGTATATGTAGCTTTATGCTATTACAAGCTAGATTACTATGATGTAGCTCAAGAAGTGCTTCAAGTTTACCTGCAGAAATATCCAGATAGTACAATCGCAATTAATTTGAAAGCATGTAATCATTTTCGCTTGTATGATGGAAATGCTGCACAGGTTGAGATGAAGCAACTCATTGAAAAAATATCAAGTTCCTTCAGTTCTAGCCATGATCTTATACGACATAATACAGTTGTATGTGTAACTTCTTATAGGGTAACTCCAGTATTTACGCTGCGTGGGGATTTAGTCAGAAGTCAGAAAAAATAGGAGTGGAGATAATTTTAGGTTGTATTAGTATTGTTATAATTTCTTTTGTTTTTTTTTATTGTTATTGTTAATATCAATAAAATTACTGTTAGTTGAATCAATTTGTTAATGTAGCACAATTATGCACATAACCTACATAAAATAATTACTATAGGGATTGCAAAAAGCTTCTTCTTTGGAGTAAATGGCGCTTGTTGATGAGTTGACGGCGATTTCGGCCACAGTCGAATTGCAAAAGGCTTAATGGTTATTTGATATATTAGTGTAGAGGGATAGTAAGGAATGAAGTATAGTAAAATACAAGTCCTTATCTCTTATATTTTTTGTTCAGCTTCATGTCTTGCATATCCCATCTGTTTGGGAAGGATATATGACATTTTTAGTGGACGGGATTTCAAGCGTATAAAGTTCGCAGATTGAATTTGGTATAATAAATGCAATAAATGCATTACATGAATCTCGTCATAACATTTGTAATAAAAAAATTATAATTATCTATTTACGTATATTAGACTGCTAAGAAAAAAAATTTTTTTTTTACTCGGCCACTTAGCTCAAAAGCTTCCATGTCACACCAAAAGAATCACCCTAAATTTTTATCAAAAAATATTTAGATTTAGAGGTCACTAATGAACGATTTTTAAATCGTTGTTTTGATTTTCCTTAATACATGTTTGATTTGATGCAAAAATGGCTTAAACCGGATTTTATAAGTGGTACTATATGTTTTTTTGGTCGCTGAACACGATGCAATAATTCATTTAACTCTATGACATACGCCTTAAGAAATACAACTCGATTAATATGAAAAAATGACCAAATTTCGAATTCAAAGTCGATTTTAGTAAGGTTCCAAGTGTTCAAATGGGTCGTTACTCCTCTCAAATTGTAGTTCGGTTCATCTAGAACAAGATCCAGTTGGAATTTTCTTAGGACCTCTTACAGGACCTTCAAAAGTTGCATTTAACTGAATTATAAAACGTTTTTAAGGATAGAACAATTTTTTTTACAAGTTCTAAAGTATATTGCTTTGTGGTATAGTGTTTGTTTGACATCCTCAAATCAAATGCCTCAATTTGATAATAAAAAACTCTTTATTAGAAAATGAAATAAGTACTTAACCAAAAAAAAATATGATTTAATTAATTGAAATAAGCTACATATTATATAGTTTATTTCAATTAATTAAATCATATTTTTTTGTATTATGTACTTATTTCCAGTTGGAGTTTTTTCAGGACCTTCTACAGGACCTTTAAAAGTTGCATGTAACTGTATTATAAAACGTTTTTAAGGACAGAAAAAATTTTTTTACAAGTTCTAAAGTATATTGCTTTGTGGTTTTGACATCCTCAAATCAAATACCTCAATTTGTTAATAAAAAAAACTCTTTATTAGAAAATGAAATGAATACAAAATAAAAAATATATACTATATAATATGTAGTTTATTTCAATTTATTAAATCATATTTTTTTGTATTATGTACTGATTCCATTTTATAGTAAAGAGTTTTTTTTATCGTTAAATTGAGGCATTTGATTTAAGGATGTTAAAACTACAAAGCAATTTACTTTAGAACTTTTTTAAGGATAGAAAAAAAATTTTTCTATCCTTAAAAACGTCTTATAATCCAGTTAAATGCAATTTGAGGGAAGTAACGACCTATTTGAATGCTTGAAACCTTGCTAAAATCGACCTTAAACTCGAAATTTGGTCATTTTTTCAGATTAATCTATATTTTTTAAGGCGTAGAGTTAAATGAACTATTGCATCGTGTTCAGTGATCAAAAAAACATAGTGTCATATGTAAAATCCGAATTAAGTCGTTTTTGTATCAAATCAAACATGTATTAAGGAAAATCGAAACTTTGATTTAAAAATCGTTCACTAGCGACCTCTAAATCTTAATATTTTTTGATAAAATTTAGGGGTATTCTTTTGGCACGAAAGGGAAGCTTTTGAGTTAAGTGGCAGATTAAAAAAAAATTTTTTTTTCTTGCCAGTCTAATGTAAATGTATATATATTATTCTTATTCTTTAATAAAATTTTGTAAGTATGTTTTATAAGTTATTGTGCTATTTTATGTCTTATTTTTAAGTATTATTTATAAATTTTTCCGAAGCTCATCTATGAGTAACCATATATTCCATTTGTGGGATGTACGACAAAAATGTAAAAGTTTTAAAAGCTACTCAGCGATATTTGAATGTTTGGTGTAAATCCAGGATCTACCTTCCGTCGACTACATATAACTGAAATCAGGGTCTGAACAACAAAGGTCTATTTTTATAATTTTCATTGTACTTCTATAATTAGTGATCTATGTTAATCTATGGTATTCAACCGCTTTTATATACATACTCGTTTATAACTTTGAAAATGACCCGAAGATGGTCGAAACGTTAGTTCGATGTAGACATATTTTTATTTTGTTTTTACTTTTATTTTACTTAATGTCAACTGTATCATATGTACATTAAAATTTGTTTTGTTTTGGCTCGTAACCCTTCCGATTATATTTTGTTTTATTTGAATTATTTGAGCCTTTCTTTATTATGTAGTTTCAAAAGTGTTTTTTATACAAAAAATAAATATTTAGATTTATATAATTTTTTTTTTATAATAGACAATACGAAGTTTTTACTGTGTCCCGATTCTGTAACTCTTAACAACAGTTCGGAATCATTATGTTGTTGCGCAGTTTTTTTACCATGTATAATATCTTTACCATGTATAAGCGCAACGACAATATAACGATTACTATCGTTAAGAGTTACAAAATCGGGGTACTGATATAGTTTATTTACCTTAAAGTAAATAACACCCCATAATAAATAATACTTGATAGATTAAATTTTTATTAGGTACGACGTATATACTGGAGTTACTTTAATACGTTTTACTTTTCCTACTTTATTCTTTCTTTACGTAGGTCTTTAGAGGTGGTGAAAACGCTTTGCAAATTTTACCCAATTTGGTAGACGTTATACCAGAAGCCAGGCTTAACTTAGTAATATATTATTTGAAACAAGATGACATCAAGGCAGCCTATGATCTGATCAAAGATCTGGAACCAGCAGTTCCACAAGAATATATCTTAAAGGGTATAGTTAACGCTGTTGTGGGTCAGGAAACTAGTTCTGTATGTCATTAAGCTATTTGTCTTTTAGCATTATTGAAAAATTTTTGAATTACTACTTCTAAATTTCTTTAGCGCGATAGTATAAAAACTGCACAGCAATACTTTCAACTAGTGGGTTCTTCAGCATCGGAGTGTGATACCATACCTGGTAGACAATGCATGGCCTCCTTCTTCTTCCTTTACCGACAATTCGAACGCGTCAGATTATATCTGAATTCGATAAAAACGTATTTCTCTAATCAAGATAATTTTAATTTTAACTACGCTCAAGCACAAGCTGGGGCGGGCTACTTCAAAGAAGCAGTGGAAGCTTTTCTGATGATACGTAATGAAAAATATAAAAATGATTACATTTACATCAGTCTTTTATCATATTGCTGTAAGTAATAGCAATATCTCTCTGCTCATAGAATACATAGAGAAAAAACAAAAACACTTATTATATAATTAAAAGCTATCGGTTGAGACCACTCAAAACTTAATCGATAAAACCATCATCAAGATTCGATAAACTGGTGCTTATAACTCGTTGGCTCATATACACATATGTAGATATACTGATATGCGGTCCAGTTTCAAGAATCGACCAATCAGTCTAATTGATTGACTTGACCCGAAATACTAACATACCTCCTAATATTTTGTTATAACTTTTATCAAATAATTATCATAGTAATGATATGATTTACAATTGTGTTTGCCTTTTCTACTCTTAGACATAATGAATGAAAAGGCCGAATTGGCTTGGGAACTGTATTTGAAGATGGACACATCAGCGGAGTCTTTCAATTTGCTTCAATTGATTGCTAACGCGTGTTACAAAGTAGGCGAATTCTGGTATGCTGCTAAAGCCTTCGATATGTTAGAGCGAATGGATCCGAGTCCTGAACATTGGGAAGGAAAGCGTGGCGCATGCTGTGGTACTTTTCAGTATATTATTGCGGAGAAGTTACCAAAGTATGTTTTATATATCGTACATTTGTATAAAATCACTGTATCGGGGATTAATTTGTCAATTTTCTTTTTCATTACACAGAGAACTGCTATCGGAAGTGATACAGATTCTGAAAAATACATCCAATTCTCAAGTGGAACAGATAATACGCGTTATGCGGAAATGGGGCAAGGAAAACAGAGTGAACTGCTAATATCACTGAATTTCGTAACATTGTTAATATCATCAATTCCGTCCAATAAACGTTTTTGGTATTTTATAAAATAGTATAATAGCACTCTACAGGTAAAGGTATCGATTAGGGAACCAAGCTCCAATGACCTTGACCTTGACACATGTTAAGGTCATGACCCTGAGTGACCTCCAACAAGTTTTAACCGTCGCTCGTCCTTCATTAAAAAGTTATTAACAAAAAAAATTTGAGAAATAACGTATACGATATCCCTTTTCGATCATATAAAACAGAAATTTTCTGCTTTAAAGTATATTTTACAACTTTCCACGCGAAGCGAGTTCCACCCCATCCCCCCCCCCCCCCCCCTGCTTGGGAGCACACGACTTTCATATTTTCTTATATAATGTTTGTTCTTAGAACAGAAAATTTTTTCTTGCTTTATTCTGATACATGTTTTACGATACATGGTTTGGTTAGGATTAGATTATAAAACATACTTTAAGACTCCTGACATGGTCGCGGCGGCCATGTTGGAATCGTGACGTCAGAAGCGAGGAATAACACGTTAATTTATGTTGCGTGCCATCTTTAAATAAAGACAATTTGGATGAAACGAAATGACGAGATCGCTTCAAAACACTTATAAAAATTAAAGAAAACTGTCCTTTCCTTCCTTGACAATCGGTAAATGGTCGTAAAAGGTACGTAAAGTGAGCCTATATTCGGGTAGAAACACACGGTCTGACAGCTGTTGAAACGAGTAAAATATACACTTTTACATATAAAATTCCAAGATATCTTTAGTTTTGTTCGATAATTACGACTTTGATAAGTATGAGACAAGTCACATTTTCACAATTAAGCAAATAATAACGAAATGGCACGCAACATAAATTTCGTCGTCAAAACGTCACTTTTCCACGCCTATAAGTTCGGCCATTTATCGTGCGGCTCTGTAACATATATACAAGCACGAGCCCATATCCGTATGCTGGTCTTCGGCGCGGGCGCGCCGAGAGTGAACGAGACAGCGAGTTCTTTCTCACACTAGTCGCTTGTTTCAAGCGACCGAAAATGCTCGGTAATCTCGGCCGCTCGGCGGCCCTAGGCATCAATAAGGGGCGGGAGGCAATCTAAATAACATACAAGTTTTAATAAATTGTAGTAATAGTGTATTACCCTCCCATTAATTCAGAATAGTATAAATCATGTTAAAACGCAACAGTTTACGAGATATTTAATTGTTTACAATTTTTCATGAGCGTTATATATAGTATACCCCTCCTTCATAAACTCGAGTAGCAAGAAAATAGTTCAATAGAAGTAGAATTTTACCGGAAAGAAATTATAAAATATAAACCAGCATGTCTTTTCACGAAAGTCTCAAAAGGCCATCAGAAAAGAAATGCGTATGTTTCAGACTCGAGAGTTGTGAAGAAAATATGCGAAAAAAAAATCGAATAGTTGCAAAAAGCACGTTTCGCTTATAAAACGAAAGATATTGATTGTATGAAAAATAATTCCGTATAAAAAATGTAGGTATTCGAAATACCTACAAAATGAGACGTGGAATATTAAAATCGATCTATTAGTTCAGTAGAAAAAAAATAAAAAACACCGAAAAAGGTCTTTTTTTCACTCGCTCTCTGTTCATTGAGATTTAAATGCAAAGCTTTGAAATTCTCATAACATGTAGCCCTCGTAATGACGAACAAATCTATCCCTGAACAAGCCTGTTCATTAGTTTTTGCAAAAAGCCATTTGTTCACTAAAAACCTGTCTGCGGAGAACTTAATTTCTTCATCTTTGAGCAATCGCACAGCAATTTACAGAGGTGATTTTTCTTCTTCAAGAGTTGCACTATTACGTACACTTAATAACAAAATGAGATTTTTTTGTAATTAAACTATTATAAAACGACTTTAAAAAGTGGGTATCTTTTTCCGTATAAAAAAAAATGGAATACTCCGTTAATATGCGTCATATCAAATAGTCGTGTGAAGCATTCGACATCTGACATTTTTCTACGAATTTAAAAAAAAAGATTACCCTCCGATTATTAGGAACCGAGATAACAATTTTTTTTTCAAAAAATCACTGTATTGCTCTAATTTTTAAGATTGAGAGTTCTGTCTGGCACCAATTTGTCAAGGAAGAATTAAATTTGCTGTTAAAAAATTTTCGAATATTTTGCTGTCGAAAAAGTTTGTTTAAAACCATTGGAAAGTTGAAGAACACGAGCGAAGCAGTGCGCCGGGCGGAGTGTGGGAAGCCAGCGCGCAGTCGATTGGGGAAGATCGGGCCGCTTGGCGATTCGCGCGTATCTGATTTTGTACATTAAAATTTGCTAAAATTACATTTTCGCAGCAATAAATTGACGTAGAAACATGATTTTGTAATATCCGGAGTAGCAAAAAACCACAAAAAATTATTAAATATATTATATATTATATTATTTTTCTTAAAAATAAAAATTGTGTCTGTTAATATAAGTTACTTAGTCTCTTTCTGTATTTCAACCACTTGAACATCAGTTGCCTCTGTATTTGTACAATAAAAAAAAT